CAACACCCAAAAAACAAAAAAAAAAGGGGGGGGGGGGGGGATCCCTGTACAATTTGGGTGACAATAGAGCACTTAACCCTTGCAGTGTGGGGGTAGCCCCACTGCAAGGGTTATTAAAAAGAAGTCATGGAGTTCTTTTTAAAAAAAATATGTTCAACTGCAATTCAATCATCACTAGTGTCAATCAATACAGCACAACTGTCAATTAACAAAATCAAGTTTTATACACACAAACCTGATAACAACTTTGCTATATGACAGATTTTTTAAGTGTCATATGTCACTACTAAGTTCAGACAGGAGACAGGAGGCTGGTGTAACATCTCTGCTCTGAGAGGAATCAGAGGTGTTATAATACTCTATAATGACTGTTTCTCTTTATAGTTATAATAGACAATATGTTCACTAATGGGTGTAACAGGATTCCTGATGACACATAACAAGTGCCTGATGATTACAAAGCATGGACATTGCTATTTGTCACTAAATGCATTATACAACAAGGGAAAGATACATCAATTGCACATTAAAACTCCAGATAAGATTTTCACTATTCTCATGATGCTGGGTAGATACATATGCTGTATTGATAATTGTATTATATATTTCAGACTTCCATTTCTCCAGAACTCTGAATGTAATTACTAATTGATTTAACAGAGGAACTATTCCAGAGTTGTGCATGATACACAAGAGCAAAGTGCTTACAACGTTATGCATACAGTATGATATACACTAAGTACATACTAAGGAGCTGAATAATAAAGTAATAATAATTGCTCATTTAACTTAGTGACCAAGGTGAAGCTGTGTTTACTTCAGTCACTTCAAAAATGTGCAAGGAAGAACATACATTTTTGTTTTAATTTACCTTGCACATGATGAGGTATTTAAGGCCAGGTTCACATCTGAGCGATCCAAGATTGCGCAGCGACCTGCGAGTTATCGTGTGTGATCGCAGCAAATATGCTTGCGGTGCCATTTGTTTCTAATGGCACCCCAATTGTGGCTACCAATCCACGCAGCTGTGTGCCCCCCGGTTACTGCGGTGCAATCGTGGCTGCAAAAAAACACGGGTCACTCATCACACAAAAAGGTGCACGCGCCTGTTTGCACCGGTTGCTGTGTGGATATGACCCCATTTACATCAATGGGGTTGCGCGGCAACTGGGGCACATAACTGCGCGCGAACGGACTGCCAAGATGTGAACTAGGCCTTAAGCAAATATTTTGTCAACTTATTTACTAAGTGAACATTATTTATTCTTTCAGTTAATTAACTGAATATGCTCATTTAAAAACACATAAAACTATCACAAACAACCATAATTCAGCCGCCTAATATATGTAGTCACTGAAAGCTATCTCTTATTATATTATTCATCTCCTCAGTGAACACATACAGGTTGTAAATTAGTATAGGAATATGCATAGGCAAAATCCAATCAAGAGTCAGAAGCAGCCAGTGGGTCAAAAGTGTACACTTTCAACAGAAGTTAGGACGTTATCAAGCAGCGCTTCCAGTGTTGAATCCCACGTTGTGTGTCATAGTATGGCAACAATTCAAAACGCACAAGTGGATGAATTTACCTCAGATCAGAATTTCATTCACCAAGGTGTGGTAAGAAGAGAAAATACTCCCAAATCACATGTTGGAAGAAGATGTAATTGAAAACCCAAGAGTTAAGACACATATTCCACAGTTGCATTGTGACCACCTTTCAATAAAGAGGTTACTCTCTGTGGGTAAGTGACACCTTTCCTTTAGGTGGAAAGAACAAGCCTAGGTGTTATGCACTTTATTTTAATTCCACTACATTTGTATTTAACCTCCCTGGCGGTATGATTATGTCAGGAATTTTGTGCCAAAAGCGGTACAATTTTTTGCATGGAAATTTGGTGTTATGTATTGTAGGCCTGCAATTCTTAGTAATTACTTACTTAAACCAGACCAAGCAAGACATTAGTAGACATCCCAGAAGTGATAAAGTTTGAAACACAAAATCATGAATTATAATCTAATAAATAATATAATTTTATTCAATAATGTAATCAAAAATAATGAAATTTGTCAAACAAAGAAAATTCAATAAACATCCTGAGTGTGATAAATTTTGAAACATGGGACTGCACAAAGTCCGGCGTCACAATCAGGACAATGGAACCTGGTTTCTTTTCGGACTTTCTTTCCATTGTCATCTCTCTTTGAGCAGCAAACTACGCACATCCTGGTAGGTGCTGCCTTTTTTGCGGTTGGCGGAATGTAGTCCATAAAGTGACGACCAGTCAGGCATTCTGGATTGACAACGTCAACAGCACGACGTCCAGGTCTGTTCACAGCTACTGATGGCGTCTGGTAGTTGAGAAAAATCCGCTCAGCCACCTTCCAGATAAAGTCAGAATGAACAAGAGGCTTGTCAATCTTTGCTCTGTGCAGGATATATGCATTCCAAAGGCATTGTTCCAGAAGATGCCTGAAGATCTTTTTATAATATTTTTTTGTTGTTTGCGTATAGCCGGATAAAATGTCATTGCCTGATCGGCTCTGTCGACACCTCCCATTGTGTTGTTATAAAATGTTTGACCTTACAAAAGAGGTTTTTCTTTTTAGCGAGTGAGGTTCAGATTTGAGGAAATTTAATGTGCACTCACATATGACTTGTGGACTAATATCGCACATAAGTTAGGATTCAACACTGGAAGCACTTCTTGCTAATATATTGAATGCACAGGTCTTTGGTTTATGTCATGCAAATGCTACTTATTTTAAGAAATGTGAAAACATCCTATTGTATATGCCTCCTGATGCATGGTACTGCTCAATGCAGTCTTCAGACACCAAAAACACAGATGTAGCTTACTGTCAGAGGCCTTACTCTGTTCCTTACCTCTACTATACTGTTATGATGTAGCTGAATGGCCAGATGAAGTGGAGCCAGCCTATAGAAGTTCAGCAAGTTTGGGTCAGCTCCTCTGCTTAATAGAATTCTGACACTGTCCACCTGGTTCTTAACTACAGCCCAGTGGAGTGCTGTACCTCCTTTACCATCCTGAGCATTGAGGACTGCAAATTAACAAAACAATTAGTACATATTTTATTGATAGCTTTATAAACGTGTCTATTGTGGCATGCAAACTTTATACATGAAGAAGATGTACAGTGCATAAAAGTACTTTAACATAATTGGTGCCCAAGGTATCATATTAGATCAGAAAGCCTATCATCACAATAAAAATATTTAAAGACATGGAATAAATCCTTTCTGCAATGGACAGTCCCTTTAAATTCCATCCTAGCATTTAAAAAAGAACTAAAGCCAAACATTTTTTTGTCTTTAGTTCTCTTTTGGGTCACAGGAGTATATTTACTGATGTACTCATGTGACCCAAAGTCAGCATCTAGCACAGTACTGCCCGTAATACGTTGAAAGCACAAAATCGCGTTGCAGCCAGGAAGGATCTTGACAATATTGTTGGGATCCACCCCGCTGCCTGATTCACAGCTGGCTCTCCCTCTCTAGACCCAGAGCCAGCTGTGTCCACCCCCTCCCCACTCTTTCCCTCCAATTACAGCTGAAATATGGGGTAGGGATTGGAGTCAGGAGGGGGCGCTCAAATATTGAAGAGAAGTAGATGTTTATACATTTGAAATGTTTCAGGTCAAGTCAGCTTCATTTTAACATACACACCCATTACATTTATGTATCCTCAGAACATGTAATTGTCTATTTCCAATCCTGATGCCCACTAAAATCTTCTAGAAAATTGAGCAGTTGCACTGCACTTAATGATTGATATTCACTTTAGAGGAAGCCTAGAGGAAGCTAGAGAGAATTGTGAGAAAAAAACAAATTCCAAAATTCTAATTAAGGTAAGCTTAGCAGACTTTCTGATTTGCATAGGGGTTATCTATTATTGCCAGTCTGTTACTTCTCCTTTCACTGTCCTATCACAGGCTAGGGAAGGGGCAAGACGAGTTAAACATTACTGTACTGCAGCAGAGAAAAGGATGAACTCTGTAATTGGCCTTGCAAGACGTTCTCTAGATTCTTTATTCACTTTATAACTTTTTGAATTTAGAATAATTGCAGTATTTACAGGCTAGCATTAGTAGCTCAAAGATTTATTTTATTTGTTGCATGACTCTGCTCTTTTATGTAACACCAAGGCTCTTCATACTAATTTACTAAATTAGCCCAAACGAGTGTATAGAGCTTTTTGTTTAGCCCCTTATTTATTATGTAGCCCCTATATTTTGCTTCTAACAAAGAATGGCATCACAGTATGTATGAATGTCTCGAATCACTGGTAATCCTGACTGAATGTCTTAAACAAATTTAAAGTATATTAACTGGTTACCATAGAATTATATTGACTTGTTTCTCTATCCTTGTTAGTTGCTTACATTAATTATCTTAAAGGACGTCCATAAAAATACCTTATAAGAATGACAGCTGTTGGCTACCCTCCCAGAGAAAAATATGTATCTCTAGTTCCAACAGGAAGGCAAACACCTTATCTTCAGAAACAAGGTTAAGTCATGCTCTCATAAAAACCTGTTTTTGCCTCATTTTTTGTGTGATGGATACAATTACTGAGGAACTGGTTGTATGTAATGGTTATTTTCACTTTAAACAATATCAAATAGACTGCTTTGTGCTGAGAGCTGGAGGGTCTGGCACTGGCAGAGGAAGAATTTGCAGCTATTAAAAACATAGCATCTTCATCACTAAAGCATCTGCTAACCATCCCCCACCTAAACACTTAACAACTAACCCTTAAAGGAGAACTATGGGGTTAAGGCTTTTCCCAATAGTTCTCCTTAGGGTAACGGGAGGACACAAACTAGCGTCCTCCCGTCACCCTAGGCTCAGTATACCACGAGCTGTAGCTCGCGGTATACTGAGACGCCGCAGCTGAAGCGGATCTCGACAATTATGTCTGGATCCGCCCAGCTGCATGACTGACAGCTGGCTCTGCCTATCTAGAGGCAGAGCCAGCTGTACCCGCCCCCTCCCCCGTCCGTTCCGCCACGCAGCGCTGGCGGATCATAGCGGGAGGAGGGAATCCAGCCCCTCCCCTGTCACGGCAGAGAGCCGTGACAGGATTGAGAGGTGAGCGAACGCCGGGATGTGGTTGCTCACCTCCCGATCTACTAAGCCGACCTGTGACACATTGTCACAGGTCGGCTAGAACTATGAGGTGAGTGAAAAGCACTCACCTCATAGTTCTCCTTTAAAATGAGTGTTTAATATTGATCTGTCCCTCTTCCCCAGCACCACATACTTAACTCTTAGGCCCCGTTCACATATAGCGAATTGTCGCGCGATTTCCGCCGCGATATCGCGCATTTTTGCCGCGCGATATCGCGAGAAGTCGCCGGCCAATGTTATTCAATGAAGCTGTCTTAACTCCATGTCGCTCGTCGCTCGTCGCGGTCGCAAGTCGCTTCTACCGGACCGTTTTTTCTGCAGATTTTGCGCGATTTTGCTTTTTTTCTATGGAGCCCGACGGGGAAGGTCGCTGGATCGTCGCTGGAACGTCACCCCGAAAGTCGCGCTATCCCGGCCGTGCGGATCCGCTGCAAAAGGTATGTCGCTAGGTGTGAATGGGGTCTTAGGGGTCTATTCACGAAGCTGCCAAAGGATCTGGCCGTAGCTTCGGCCGATCCTTCGGAGCCTGCCGGGGGTTCGGCTCAGCCGATCCAGATGTTGGATCGGCTGAGTCGAACTCCTTCTGCACTTCGGCTTGCTTTCTGTGGCTTCGGGTCGGCCGAACACGCTTGCAACCGCTTAAGTCTTTAAAAAAGGTGCTTATAAGCATGAAATACATGAGAGCTATATCCTGTGCCCATTAATACTCTACGGAAGAAGTTTTCCAGAACCCAGTTGTGCAGTGAATCCTTCTAACTAAATGATAATTAGACGGATTTAAACCTGTGTCATCTTGCAAAGACTCTAAGGCTGGCAATTTTATCATCAACTGACACCAGAGGCTAGCAACTCTTAAATATGCTATGGATATTACTTAGGCCTGCCATTTCTTTCTCACTTTCATCACCCAGGGAGATATTTTACCTTCATCAGTACCCTCATTGACTATCATGAACACGATCTCCAAGTATCCATGTTTTGCAGCATAATGCAGTGGCGTGGCCTCTAACTCATTTCTGGCCATTAGACATGTTGGGTTCTTCAGTATGAAACTCCGCACACGGCACACATGACCCTCCTGAACGAGCTGCATTCAAATAACAAGTTAATCTACTATCAATTATTATTGATTATATAAAAACAATATACAGTGACATTTATCAGCATATGATAATAGCATGCCTATATTTGAAACATGGCTCATTCTATCTCTAGAACAGCCTTCCTCAACCTGGGTACCATGGAACTTTAGGATTCCTACTGAGGTTGCTAAGGGTTCCTTGAGCAATGAGCATTGACCATCCATTTTAGGGTTAAAGTCTACACTGTCCACCAATGTTATGGGGCACCACCATTTTCACTGTAGGGGGTGTGAAAAAATGATCTACCCTTGGTGTCAAATACTCTAGGATCGCCACACTCTTTAAGCTTTTCTTTAAAAGCTTCTACAACGTATTGTTCAAGCTAATGTACCATGATCTGTAAGGTATAATCATTTTTAGCAAGGGGCCCTAAGACCTGAAAATTATTTCAAGGGCTCCTCTGAGGTAAGAAAGTTGAGAAAGGCTGCTGACATTAATAGACAGATCTGTAAACGCTGTGTCACTCTTACTCTTTGAAATTTGAAGCTAGCTAGTTAAAATCTGTTCATAAATAGTATCATTATTTGCTTTGCAAATGAATGTTTTCATTATCTTTAGAATATAGCTATAAGAAGTAAATGCAAATACAACTGTCTTCCAATTCTTCCAGTTCATATATGTGTGAATGGAGTGGAGAAGAGGCAGTGGTTGCAAGACACCTCCAGGGCCCAGTTTTCTTAAGGCAAAAAAGAGCAATCAGATAAGGTTATTTGCAAGTTGATCTTTTTTACTGAGATTTGTGGTCCAAAGATGTCAGCTGAGGCCTCTAGACTTCCTTATCTGGCCAATTTTGGTCATCTAACATCTTAAGCCATCTTAAGCCATAGCAATCTATGATCATTGCTCTTTTGCTTATCTTACAATACACTATATTCCATTGTGCTGCTGTTTGCTGACACAAATATTTAGGGTCGGTAATACAGAACAGAGTAGAGTTCTTTTCAGAGCTGTTTACAATGCAGTCACTGGTGGTAACTAATCAGAAGATTCACTATTCCTGAGATTTGTGGTCCAGAGATGTCAGTTGCAGCTTTTAGAATTGAGACTTCCACCTGATCTGGCCAATTTCAGTCATCTAATATCTATGGCAAACGCAACATATGAGTCCTGATCTTTTACAATAAACTAAATTCCATCATGCTGCTGTTTGCAGAAACAAATTTATACGTTCAGTAATACAGAACAGAGTAGAGTCCTTTTCTGAGCTGTTTAGATGCAGTCACCATTGACTGCATCAGTGAATCTTCTGATTTACTGATAAGACCTTACTAATCTAAAATTGATCTGGCAGAGACAACAAAACATAGAGGAAACCTTCAGGATCAGGAAAATCCCCTTCACATGAAAGTCTCATTATAATTCAGAGATCTTGTAAGTGTTCAGCTGCAAATGAACATCTCACTTCCTAATGTTGGGAATATCAGTTTGCACAGTAACAGCAAGAACAAAACATGTGTTTGTGTGATTCATACTGGAACTCTGTCAAAAGTCTCTTGAAACTGGAAGCAATGTAAAAGCAAGACGATGCCAAATGCCGACATGATATCAAATAAGCAGCTCTGTAGTGTGATACCAGAGGTCAGAATGTGTTTCCACATACACCAACTGTAATAACATAGGGCAGAGCAAGGAATAAACCAAAATCTGCAGCCAGAATAGGTGGGTCTTAGGGCAGCTTTAGACTGGGCAAAATTAACTAAGAGGAGAAAGAAATTGAACAGACAGGAAACTGTATCCACTCCATATATATTTCTCCTCCTGTATTTAAATTACCATTTAATGTGCAAAGCTGAACATTTTCAGTCAAATTTAACCCCTTGAGTCACAAATACAATCACAAATAACCGCTAGGAACTACGCAAACTATCACCCATGAGTTCAATCAACCACCAGAATTCAGTTGAAACTGGACAACAAAATGACAGCTTCAATACACATTACTGAAAGAATGAATTAAAATGTGGTCAAAATGGCAGAAAACTACAACAATTTTATTGAAAGCAATGTGATTTTTCTGTCTGTTTGATAAGAGCAATTGTGATCACATCTTCTTGCAGTCAATCAAAACCACCCATTTATGTTTTTGATTGCTTTGTGATTTCAACACAAACTGTTAATAGAACGTTTGAACATTCTGATCATTTCTACCACTATATGCAGGATGCATATACAATAATAAATCTGTTCTTACTATTTGTTTGTACACAACTACATTCTGCAGCAAGGAGAGAGTTGGGAGAGATGGACCACAGCTCTCTCACACTGAGCAGGGGCCCAGCTCACCTGCAGTCCAACACCCTCCCCAACAGAAACAAAACCAACAACAGTGCACTAATTTACAACACTGCTCAGGGAGCAAAAGCACTGTTGAATATTGCACATTAAGGCTATTTTAGTATTTTAAATTATAATATTTAAAGTTATAGTAATGAAAAACTGCTGGAAAAATTAATACAAAAGGTAGTTATACTGGCATCATCCAATCAATTTACTTGTAGAGTTTTTTAAGTGCAGGTTATAGGACCATCACCAACTCTTGCTGCAGACAGTGTGAAACAATTCATCCTCAAACTTCACAGCAGAAGCATTAAAGTCTCCCAAGTCCTTCTCTGACCATTTCCGCTTACCTTGTTCCCCCTCCCACCAACCTTCCAGCATTCTAATCCTTAATGTAAACATAGAACAGATACTATTGGAAAAGGGAAGCAGGGGGAGCTGAGCTGCGGAGGAATCAACATGGACCACTTGAGTGCATCTGCTGTGAACTTTGAAAATAAATGACTCTACAGTGCTTGCAGCTACTGAGGTCAATGAAGGTAAAAAGCTAATTTACTGCTGGTTGAGAATGTAAATACGTGAATGTCCATAGCCTGGCCACAGATTGATTTAGGCTGACCACGCATGATACACATTTTAAAAATTTCAATCACTTTTAAATAGTTTTCAGTTGAGAAAACGACTAAATAGATCAAGACTTTCTCTCACCTATAGTTTCTCTCTCAGTACTGTTATTCTGTTTGGTTATTTAAAAAACAAATCTAAATCTACTTAAAAGTGGTTGAGATTTCCGTGTGTATTGCCAGGATAAGTGTATGTGTTGTGAAGTTAATTCTCATGTTGCTCATGAAATAACTTTCAAAGTGCTTGTCAGGCATGCTGGGAGATTTCTACCACCACTAGTTGGTCTTTATGTCAATACTCTATGCACCAAAGTACTGGTAAGATGATAGCACTGGTTGTATGGAAGTGAACAGTAGTTGGTGTATGACAGCTCAGTATTTCTGCTGCTTTAAAGATGTCATTTATATTTTAGATTTCATATTCAAGCATTTTCTAGCAGAAAGGTTGTCCCTGAATATTTACATACATGTGCAAATATTACCAGATTATTTTGTTAATCCACTACTACTCTGTAAATCCTTGTTCCACCCAGTATAAATACTATCATGTGTCCTTCTACATACCTTAAATATGAGCTGAGGATTTTCCTGCATGGAGGTGCAGCTCTCAGAGCGCAGGATGACCCCCTCATATGGGCTGTCGTCCTTCTCTCCTGCAGGAGTGAACATCCGTCTAATCGACTTCTTCATGTTGGATAGTGGAGTCCAGACTGCACAAGGCTCTTTTCTTCTTCCTGCAAGGTGACAGAGACTCAGAGCTGTGACACACATCCACCGCTCTTCTTGGGACTAAAACCAATTTATTTATACATTCCTTCGTGTGCCAGGACTTGACCTCCAACTTCTGAGACTTGAGGAGGCAGCCAGCAGGAAATGACAGTAGGCTGCAATCTCAGCCACCTGCTCTCTGTTTGGTAGAAGAATTTACAATAACAGCTATTGTACATACTGTATACTAAAGTGACTCACATGGGAGGTGGCATTGGAGAAACACCCACTGCACTTTCTCCACCTCAATGGCAGGAATTGGAGAAAGAACGAGAACAGAAAAGAAAAAGGAGCCAGCCGCTGTGAAAGCTGCTTGTGAAGCGAGTACAGACAAGCTGTGTGTGCTGCCATGAGGCGTTTAATGCTTTTCTTACAAGCTCTCCAGACTGTCATAAGGAAGTCAAGAAAACAGAACTGTGGAGCAGAGAGGCGACCATCAAGCATCTGCTTCCCCCCCTTTTTTTTTTAACTCATTCTGCAATTGCTAAATAACTATCAGGGTAAATGTTCAGTTTTGTTGCTTTTAATACAAAATAGATCTGAACTCAAAAAGTGAAGATTTTCTATGTTATAGGAAACATCTTAATTGTGCCCAACTAGCACGCCAAGGCACTTCTCTGCATGCAGCCTCATAGCTGTATATCTGCAGTGTGAGATCTAAGGCACTACTGCTTTTGACTGCTAATGTAATTTGATGATGTCACTACTGTGCTGCTCACTGTTCTCTCTGCTGGGGGCTCCAACATGAGGACACAAAACCCTGCTTCTACCAAGATGTGCACACGGGGACACAATAAGGTATAAGGTATTGTAAGTCAGTACTGGGGAAGGATTAGATACAGGGAGACCACAGGCAATACTGGTAGCTAGTCCTTTGGCCTCTGTTTGTCTTTTTAGGGCACAAAGTTCAGTCCCAATTTAAAAAGTTTGCTTGTGCTCATCCTAAAGGTTTAAAAGTGAGTTAAAGAAAAACTCCATGGAATTTCTTTCTAAACCTTTACCCTGCACTGCAAGGGTTAAGTTCTCATTTTTGTCCAGGTTCTGTTATACTCACCCAATGCTCAAAGCTGGCTTGCTCTTAGACCGGTCCCTTCTGTCTCTCTCCCCCTCCACTGCAGCGATAGTATTCCCCTTGGTGTCCTCACGTCCTATGCACAGTGTATAATGATTCTCGGGACCTTAAACCGCTGCAGCAGATGCAGCAGATGCAGCAGCGAGGCTAGAAGGACCGGTCTAAGAGCAAGCCAGCTCAGAGGATCAGGTGAGTATAACTTTGCTATTTTTTAACCTCGGCAAAAACGAACACTTAACCCTTGCAGTGTTGAGGTAGCTCCACTGCAAGGGTTAAGAAAATGTTTAACTCAGAGTTCTGCTTTAAAGTTGTTCTATAGATAACGGCATGTACGGCATGTACATCTATCATGTCACAATGTACAGAAACAATAAATAAAAGTAAATGTTTCTAAAGTTCATCCTTTTTGTTTGTTAAATATACCAAAATGTTTTGTTATATCTGTCCAATAAGTGAAAAGAAAAACCCTGTTTATCTTGCTAGTAAGCTACTGAGTGAGCTGATTGCAGTATTGTCAGTTCACTACAGGAAGTTACAAGCTCACTGGGTTTCTGGCAGGATCAACAGATATATTTGTTTTTGCAATAATAAAGAAGATATAAGAAAACTTTTAAATGTACTGTATATATACACCAGCTAATAAGAGAAGTTCATTGTTAGGATTCACATAGACTTTGAGCCGAATATAAAGAGGGTACTATAACTGATATCTGTAAAAAAATAAGTCAAGGCAACTGGACTTGCTGTATTTTTCTTGAAGATGTTTCACTGGTCATCCAACCAGCTTTCTCAATTCAGAATGACTTGTACAAAAATAAATATGGTGAATGTCACTCCAATCCACATAATCTGCTAGTCGCAACCAGGTGTTGATTACATTTGCATAATGGAGCTGTGAATAACATGCCCAGAGAGAGGTGTTAAAACAAGATTGTATGTGACAGACAATAGATGTCTCACCCTCCCACCTCTATTCCAAGTAATTCTGAATTGAGAAAGCTGGTTGGATGTCCAGTGAAATGTCTTCAAGAAAAATACAGCAAGTCCAGTTGCCTTGACTTATTTTTTACAGATATACCATCACTAGACATGTGCGATTCGTTTCGTTATGAATCGAAATTCGTACGAATTTTCCTGAGCTTCGTAAATTCGGAAGCATCCGAAATCCGAATTGCAGTTTCCGAATTATATCTGAAATACGAAATTCCGTTAACGAATACACCTGGATGAATGAGAACCTTCACAGATACACTATAACTGATGGCATGTGATGTTAGCTCTTCCTGCACAGCCCAGATCCCTGCTGATGTTACTTTTCTGATGGTCAGATTTGAAATAACTATAGGCACCCGATATAACGATCCCTGTACCGGCTGAGGTTATATAAATGCCAACATTGCAGTGTGGGATATGAGGAGCCATTCATGCTAGGGGCAATACAGGCAGCTCTGGAGAAGAAGATGGTGAGTCAATTGTGACGCTTGTTACTACATGCGTTTAGATGCACATTCATAGAGAATTTTTGTTCCTTTTAAATGTATTGTGTTTGTTTACACTTTATTCAAAGCAAGGGAGAAGTATTCTGAATATACATTTTCATGGTGTAGATGTACTAACACACACAAAAGTGTATGATACTTGATTTCTGCGCATTTGCTTATCATTTGATTGGGCATGTTCAAAACACGGAAACAAAAACACTGCACATACCAATCCTCAGTGTCAAGGTGAACTATTCAAATAGCATTTAATGGGATCTCTGCTGTAAATGTATTTTCATGCAGTGAAATGCCCCAAAAGGTATGTGTATACACTGTGCTGCAACTTGTAGTTTGTTTACCTTCTTTTTCCCACAGCTTTGCTTCACAGCTGAATTCCAGACAAAAAAAATGTTAATTTTTATGAAAGAAGTCTCATGCCAAAATACAGCCAATATTTGAGGGTGAACACAGTTTTCCTCACAACTGTAATATGAGGTAAACAGTTTCAGAGCACTGATAATGAGAAAGTGTCTCTTTAGAAAGATTTATATACTGTACTATATACATCAAAAGCCAACTGTAAAAAACAAACAGTTTACACTGGAATCCTGCCCACACTAAAACTCAGTTTACATTCCTGTTATACAGTAAAACATGGGATGATTACTTAGCATTACACATCATTTGTTTTCTTATTAGAGAAAACACAACATTAATTACCTCTTCCATCATTCACCGAGTGTATACAAATCAACAAAGGAAATGTTTCGTGCACTTGGAAAGTTGTATACTTCAGGCAGATGAAGGTAAACCATGCAGATATGTGTTCATTAAAGAACCATTAAAACCTCTTTATTAATTACTGTAATGCAGTCAGTCTACAGACACAGTAATACATATGTTTGTCTTTTTGTTTATTTTTCCTTATTTTATGCTGGATACTAGGTAGAAACTCAACAAAGAGCAGAGCTGTCTGAGCCTCCAGTGGTCCAACACGCCCCCTGCACAATGCTCCAATCAACAAGCTGCATCAGGAGTGTGAACACTTCTGATTGGAGGACTGGGAGGGTGTATCAGACTGTTGGAGACCTGGGCCACTGTGTTGTGCGAGAGCAGTGGTCCAGCTCTCCAGCGGGCTGCCAGCACGGGGAAAAAGACAAAAAAAGACGAGCATATTTATTACTGTACTGTATATGCAGCCTAGTAAATACAGACACTTTCATTCAGTTTTACAGTACGTGTAGCCTTGAATGGAGTTGGGGTGGGTAAGTTAATTTGATTTGGTATCACCCTCGTGCAATAACTGATACAGCAGAGCTTAGACTGGGGCAGGGAGAAGCAGCACAAGGTGCCAATCAGGTGTACCACAATGATCAGGGGTGTCCCTAGCCTTTTCGTTCCCCAAAGTGAGCGGGGGTGCTGGTGGTGCCCGCTAACATGTGGTGTGGGGGGTGCTGGTGATGCACGCTAACTGCGGGTGGGGGAGGGGTCCTCCGCATCATCTCCCCACCCAGCTATTGGGCCAGCAGGGTAGAAACATGTGTATGGCCCTTGCACATCTCCCGGTCTTGCTCTCAGCAACCTGGGCCACTCTGGCTGGAAAGGGGGTCGACAGGCACACTGCAAAAATTGTGCAGCAGAGTGGCCACTCTGTCTGATGCCTCCCCTCCACACACACCTTCCCCATTGACCGCAAAAAAATGCCGCCTGAAGTATAGGCCTCAGGTTGCCTGACTATAGGGACGACCTTGGCAATGCTCATTTGCTAACATGGAAATGCTGATAGAAGGAGCAAGGAGAGAGATGTGCCTTTCAGTCTGCTGCTTGTCCTTTGTTGTCCAATCACAAGCTGTGGCAGGGACAAGGACTAGCTGTATTAGATAACGTTTTGTGATTTTGGAAAGATGATGTAATTTAGCTGTCCCCTTGATGTTTTTCTCTAATAATCCTCATTATTAGCACTCAGTCTGCAACTTTCTGCTCATTAAATATAATCCTTAGAACCTAAGTAGGCATATCTGATTGCAGGAAGTCAAGAATTACAAATGGACGTACAGTCATCTTATTATAACTGTTGACTAATTCATAAGGCAATAATGATATAACTAAGAGACATATGTTCCGATAAAGTGACACTAAACTTTAGCTAAATTCTAAAAATGCATTCAAGTACCCTACCTGTTAATAAAACTGGACCTTATTTGTGTATCACTCGGTTGTAGATCCGCAAATCATCTCTGAATTGGTCGTGACACTGTCCTTCCTTCTGATGGACTATAATCTCAATACAAATTAGTAAATTAAACATGAGATTGCAGTCCATCACAGGAGTGAGCTTGGAGAGGTGGCTACTTTACAACACACAGGGA